CTCTTGATCTCCGCTGTACCAAAGAGGCCCAGAACCTCACTGCGGCAGTGGGATGCTATTTTGTAGCTCTCTTCCTTCCCAGCACTCAGATCCCCATTTTGAATCTTTCCCTTGGCCGGCTGGCTCTCCAGCACACCTCACCTCACCTGTCTGCAGGTGGAAAAACTGGCACGAACGCTCTTCTTGTGGAAGATTGAGGTCCACGACCAGAAAGAACGCGTCTATGAGATGCGGCGATGGAACGAGGCCTTGGTCACCAACATGTTGCCCGAGCACGTTGCACGCCATTTCCTGGGATCCAAGAAGAGAGATGAGGTAAGAGGGTGGCACTTGGAGCCTATTATTTCTGCTGCGGATCCAGATCCTTTTTTATAACTGGGGTTCAAGTCCAGCTGTGCTGGACCTAACGAGACCTTCCCAGGGTCTCGTCTAAAGGGCTCTGCTGCATCTCTGGGACATCATTTATTTTAGAACCAGAGTGCCCCTTCTGTACACCAAGGTGGCCAACCATTCCGCTGTCCTTCCCTGGAGGTTTCTGTTATTGGGATGAAACACTGTAAGCATCTTGGGGAGGAAAGGGTTTTTCCCATCTTACACTGCCAAGCAAACAGCCCATCACTAAGGGAAGTCAGGGCAGGCACTGGTGCAAAAGCCTTGGATGAGTGCTCCTCATACCTTGCTCAGCCTGCTTTCTTATAGCACCCAAGACCACGGTGAGCTGGGATCTCAATCAAGGAAATGTACTACAGATTTACCCACAGGCCACACTGGGGAGGGCATTTTTTTCAATTGAGGTTCCTGTTTCCCAAATGACTCAAGTTGTGCCAAGTTGGTATCAAACGAGCTACCACACTGGACTGTTATAAGGGCTAGGAAATGTTCTTATTCAGAGTGGGAAGGAGATTTTTTTCTAATTATTCAAAGTCGGGTCCAACAAGTTGAGTGCACCCATCATGTGTGAGGATGACAGACAGGTTTCCTGTATGCTACCCCACCAGGCTGTCCCTTGCATGTTGGGCCCTGTTCTTTATTTACATGTGTGGGGTATATATGTTTGCATGTGTTCAGGTGGAAGCTTCCATAGGGGGCTGGTTTCCTCTACTGCTTTGCCCCCTATGTGTCTCCTGCTGAACCTGGGCTCGCCGTATTGGTTTGCAACTTGCCTCGAACTCTGGTGCTCACAACTGCGCAGCAAGTGCTTTACCCTAGCCTGGCCCTGCCTCTTTCTAGGAGCTGTACAGCCAGTCTTACGACGAGATTGGAGTCATGTTTGCCTCCTTGCCCAACTTTGCTGACTTCTACACTGAGGAGAGCATCAACAACGGTGGCATCGAGTGTCTGCGCTTCCTCAATGAGATCATCTCTGACTTTGACTCTGTGAGTGTCCTCCTGTCGTAGAACTGACACCTTTATATTACATCCCAAAACCCTGTGCCCAAGTCAAAGGCGCCAGTTCTGCTAGGCTGGCTTCATCTCCCACACGAGACTTTTATAGTCACTGGACTTGCTCAGCCACCCAGGACTGATGAGTCTGAGGGATGAGACACGATCCTGAGACGGCCCTCAAGTTCAAGGGATTAGGGACTTCCCATCCCCTGTAGAGAGAAGCCTTTTCCTTGCCAGCTGCTTTGGTTTTTTTTTCCCCCACCAGTTGCCTGGGCTCTGCCGCGTTGTAGTCCCCAAATAACACACAAGACACTGTATTAATTATGAAGCTGTTGGCCTTGCTTGTTTCCTACTGGCTAGCTCTGATTTAAGTATTTATCCCATAATTGTTAATCTAAGTATTTCTTACTGGACATCTTACTTCTCTGGCGGGCTACATTGTGACTCCTGTGTTTCTCCTTCCCAGAGCTGTGCTTGACTCCTAGTCCCACCTATCTTGCTTCTCTATTGGCCAACAGTGCTTTATTGACATATACACAGGACTTCCCCATCAATCCCCCCCTCAAACCCATATTAAGCATTGGCTATTGACTGCACACCTTTCCTTGGGTGTCTAGCACCTAAGGAGACTAACCATGGACGCTAAGATCTTAGTGTTAAGGTTATGGAGATTGAGGCAGAGAATTGTATGCCAAAGTAGCATAGAATGTCTAAAGCCATTATAGGAAAATGTCATGTAGATGCATTGTTGATCCTTGTAAACAGGCAAATTTGATGGTGAACTCGCCTTTCCTTGATTCTACTAATTCTGTTGTCAGCTCCTGGACAATCCCAAATTCCGGGTCATCACCAAGATCAAAACCATTGGCAGCACCTATATGGCAGCTTCAGGAGTCACCCCAGATGTCAACACCAATGGCTTTACGAGCTCCAGCAAGGTATTTCACTTGTTAGGTAACTAGCAAGGCCATGAAGGCAGCAGCTGGAGATGCAGAAGTGTAAGAGACAAGCGGCTCATTCCCACGATGCCCCATACTGTTTAAGAACTGCATCAGTTCTGGAGCAGCGGAAACTCCTGGCTGCTGATGACTGGCCTTTTCTGAGCTCCAGTAGACCAGGGGAGTCTGTGTGATTTGCAGGCCAGAAAAGAAACTATGGGAGTCTTTAATCTCCATCTAGTTTGCCTTTACATCTCCACTCTGAGTGAGTGGAGTAAGCTGAAGGTGACCCATCAAGTGCTCATGGCCTTGGGAATCAGGAAAGGACCACACTCAGAGCTCTGCCTTGTAACCAGCCAGTCACACGACACAGAGGACAACCGACACAGGGCATCTTTCATCACCCACCTTTCATAGATGCATGAATTCTGCAGTGGTGACATGCTGGCCCTAAAGAGACTGCTAATTCCTTTTGGGGAGACTGCTCCTTGTATCTGTCCTGTAGCAGCTTCGCTCAGGTGCTGTGGTCATAGCCTGAATGGTTCTGACAGTGTCATCATTTTCCACACAGGAGGAGAAGTCAGACAAGGAGCGCTGGCAGCACCTGGCTGACCTGGCCGACTTTGCATTAGCCATGAAGGATACGCTCACCAACATCAACAACCAGTCATTCAACAACTTCATGTTGCGCATAGGTAACGGCACCAGCAGCGCTGATCACATCAACAAAACCGGGGGACCTGAATGACCTTTAGTCTTGTTCTCTTTGAGGAAAAGTCGACTTAAACCCATTCCTGCAAGGGCAGTCCAACTTCCCTTCTGCGTCAGGCACCTCAATAAGGCAGTTATGAGGAGCGGTTCCGTTTTTGGGAGATTGTAACAAGTTTGAAGTATTAGGAAGGTTACAGAGAAGCTGGCTGCTAGTCCTGAGTATCAGCATAACACATGGCTGTGCAGGACTTTTAGCAATGATTTTTGCTTTAAAAAGGCAACTTCTAGTAAGGAGTATGGGTGTTATGTGATCAGGAGCCCTGTGAGGGCCAGGTGGTCATCTATGAAGGAGAAATTGGTAGCTTCTGAGAGGCTAATGCAAGCTTGGCTTGTGGTCACGCTCGCTCCACTCTCTCTACCCCAGGCATGAACAAAGGCGGGGTTCTGGCGGGAGTCATCGGAGCCCGGAAACCACACTATGACATCTGGGGCAACACAGTCAATGTGGCCAGCAGGATGGAATCCACAGGGGTCATGGGCAACATCCAGGTACGTTCAGCACCAGAACTGAGCCTGCATTGAATGAATGCAGGGAGTACAAGAAAAGGAGAAGTCCGTGGGCTTTGCCATACATGCTGACCCTTGCCTGTGGGCCACAGATCAAAGAGGGCAGTGCTGCAGGGCCAGGTAAGTACACTGGGGACTTACCAGAAGGGAGAAAAGGCTTTGCCCCATTTGCAACACTTAAGATTAGACGGTCTGAGTGAATAAAAGCCTGCCTGTTGGTACAAAGTTGACATGTTGTTTTAATAGCAACTGAAGTAACTCTGACCTGAAACAGTAATCTGATGCCTGCATGTCTGGTGGCTGACCATAGTTCTCACCCCATGTGTGGTGGGGGGTAGAGCACTGTACCCCTGTATCTGCATTCTCCTGAAGCAGCAGTGTCATCTGGATCTGTCAGCCCTAACCACTCTACCCACCAGCCTTGGCTCCCTCAGCCCTAACCACTCTACCCACCAGCCTTGGCTCCCTCTTCTCTAACCTCATCTTTGTTCTCCACGTGCAGGTGGTAGAAGAAACGCAGGTCATCCTTCGCGAGTACGGCTTCCGCTTTGTGAGGCGAGGCCCCATCTTTGTGAAAGGGAAAGGGGAGCTCCTGACCTTTTTCTTGAAGGGGCGGGACAGGCCAGCTGCCTTCCCCAACGGCTCCTCTGTTACCCTGCCCCACCAAGTGGTGGACTCCTGAATGGCCTCTGGGCCCACAATGGTCCACACGTCAGAAGGGAGATTCTCTTGGAAGCGAAGAAAGGCTTTTGGGAAAGGGCAAATGACCAAGTCCTGGTGTTCCCAAATTGTTGAAGTGCACATTCCCATACCTAGGTTTCAGATTTCCTCCAGCCTTCCTGTGTGGATATGAGCTCTGAGGGTGGCCATTCCTACTACTCAGTGTGCCTGTAGCGTCCCCAGAGTAGGGTCTTAGGCATAGCACCGGAACAGCCTTCCCAGAGCCTTTGTCCCACCTCGGCCCTTCAGCCCTAGAGAGGCCATGGCCACTGTGAGCAGGATGGCAGCAGGGGGGAGGGCTCTGCTGAGGAGGTGGAGAAAGCTCCCCGCCTGGCTGCCTGGCTGCAGTCTACAGCAGTGCTTTTCACTGGAGGAGAGCGCTACTGGCGGCTGCTGCCCCCCCTCCTGTCCAGTTAGGTCAGTGGCCCTTTCCCGGACGTTCCTGATAATCTTGAAAGGTTCTTCTGGAATCCGTGTCACCTTAATCACGAGAGCAGAAAGTGCAATATTTCTTTTCACCTGGGGGGGGGGGGGTCATTTCTGAGAGAAAAATATATCAACAGATCTTCTACATTTATATTTTTAACCTGTTTAAAGACAACCTTCCAATATTGCCTTGTCTTCTGAGCTCTTGCTACAGTCGCCTTTGCTACTGCTTCAACAGAGAATCTGCAGGTGTTGGTAAAGAACAGGGCTGTTTTATTAAAAGCTTTACTCGACTTGACGGCACTGTTGTGGCAATTCTGTTACTGCGACATCTCATCCCCCACCACATGCCTAGAGGGCAAAAACTTGACAGAACCTTTTACTCTGAGGGTGAGCCATGCTGGCTTACCATCCTGTAGTCTTCCTGGAGCGCCCACACATGGAGACTTCTAGGAAGCTGCTAGTTTAGAGTGAAGCCCAAATGCTGGGCCTGTGGAGTCTAAAGATCTTACATGGGATGAGCAGAGGAGGAACAGGAATTGTAATGGGAGAACTTGACCAGCAGACAGGTCTAACCAGATGTCAAGAGGTTCTAAGCGAAGGAACAATGCATGCTCCCATGGTTAGGAGGAAAAGGTACTTTAAAGGTATCTAGGAAGGGAAGAGGACTGGACAGACACAGCCATGCCTGAAGCTGGCAGGAGGGAGACAAGACGGGAGGGTCCAGTGATTTATGTGCAGATTTCTAAGAGTGCTTTCTCAAAGTGACTTCATGCATTCAGCTCTCAACCAAGATATTTTAGAAAACAAAATATACAAAATCCCTAATTATAAAAAGTACTTCCTCCCACCAAAATTGTGGCCTACAACATGCTACCCCAAACCCAAGATTAAACACATTCCCTTCTTATCTACAAGCCCTGTCAGATTTACAGCTCCCACAAAAGCTACAGATGCTTATAAATTTCTTTAGTTACCTTCAATGTAGCTGATTTTCAGCACAAATACATACATACAATACTTATAGACTGTATTTATAGAGGGAGATGCTCTGGAGCTCAGCAAGTTGTGAGGACCTCTGCCCCCCTCCAGCCGTCCGAGGTCAGAGAGGGTAGATTGCACCGTTTGCCTGTCCTGCAGCCAATCAGAGCAACACGGAATTGAGTCAAGCAGGATCTTGTTTACTGTTTAACAGCAGAGCCCTCTTAAAGCGGAAAAAACTGCAGGGCGGGAAAAGCATTACCCAATAATTTCAAAGGTTTTCCCGTGGTGTATCTGCTAGTGTGATGACCTCATCTGGTGTGAGTTTGGGCAGCCAATTGTTTTTCTTTCTTAGTAAACATTTGAAGCCTCGCCTCCGTAGCTCCCTCCCAGCACCATCTTGTAATGGCCCTGGTCGTCAGCTCGGACCACTCTTTCTCCTGGCGGGACACGATCTGTGCTCCTCCATACCAAGTGACCAGGCAATCAGAGATCTGTCCAAATCACCGTCTACTCAACAAGCTGCTTGCCTTTCCCACGAAGTGGGCGTCTCATCTCATGGCAAGGCTGGTTCCCAGGCAGCGCTCTCCCTCCAGAGCTCTTGCTGACAGGTCCTGGACTGCAGGCGGCATGAGCATGTCCGCTTCAGATGGACCCAAGTAGAAGTTTTTCACATCAGGCTCAAATCCAGCATTTCAACGGGTTTCAAAAAGGAAGCAAACACCTGGTGCAGTGGCTTGGTTCGGAAGAGCATTTCATGGGAGGCTCTGAGTTCTTCCCAACCAGTGGACGATGCTTCTGCCCCTAAAGGAGGAGATTTTGTCAAGCTCATGAATCCAACTGGGGACTCAGAACCACACAACCGCTCTTCTAGACCCATGGGACTTACAATGTAACTCTGAGAACAGGAACTTAGAGAAGATAGAGACTAGAACAATCTGTGGGCCTGACACTTGTGACATCATCACAATACTTTTTTTTTTAATGACTACCTGTGTCAGATTATGATGGTACTTCTAAACAGGTGGAAACAAGTCTCCTGGCTAGCCCTGAAAAACTGCCACTTACAGAACATACTCTAGAAGTCTAAGCATCTGCTAACTTCATCACTGACAACCCCAGGGCTCTACCTTAGCTGTCCATCTTGCAGGTGGGGGAGGGCACACACCCATGAAAACAGTCTGTAGACTGAAAGAATTCTGGCCAACTGGGAAAGGGGAAAACTAAGATAGCAATGCTTAACATCTACAATGAAAAACTGTAGGCACAACATTTTCTTTGCTATCTTGGTGTATTTCTAGACAGAACAGAAGGGGCTTTAGATGCCCACTTGATGTTACTCTTCATACTCCACTCGGTTTGCCTGAACTAGAGTATGCAGTGTCTTCAGTGAGGCATCGTTCCCCGTACCTGGACACGTCACAGTGACACCTGTGGGAAGAGCTGCTGTGAGGTCCTCATACAGCAGTGTGGCACTAAAGGAGGAGGTCTGGCGTCCCTGATCCACTTTATAGGTAAATGACAACAAGTTGCACAGGGCGTTTCTCTGCAAAGGTCCAATGAGGAAGGCGCTGAAGTCAGTCTGCCAGGGTAAGGAACAATGAGAGGGTTTGCCGATTACGCTCCAGAGCAACTTCTCCAGACTGACAACACTCAAAACTTTGTCTCAAAGGGACAAAAGACCATCAAGCGTCTGGTTGGAAGTGTTATGGCAGACACTTCGCCCCAGCCCCTGGCATCCATATCCTTTCTGGAGCCAGATGAAAAGCTTCTATACCCTCATAAGCCTCTCCATTGATGAGCAATCCAAATCAGACCAAATCAAACCAAATTAGAAGAAGCCCATGTTTAATGGATACAACGCTCCCAGATGGCCTTCCAGCCCCCAGAGAGGAGACAGGAAAGAGATTAGAAAAACCACTTCTGTGGGGAAAATTTAACTACCCTGTAGGAGTGGTCTTGAGCATCTCTGGTGAACTTTCTGAGATGCAGCAGGGTTTGGAGGGAGATGGGGAAAGGGGCTTGGGTGGAACCTCCGCCATAACATCCCAGACTCTTTGGATATATGGATGCCAGGGGCTGGGGTGACGCTTCCACCATAACAGGAAGCACTTAGTAAACTATCAGTAAACAGATAGAAGGAGATACTATTTCTGCCAGGAGTTTCATTGACATTATCTTATATGGAAAGACATTTTCTTTAATTGATACCTGGGAAGAGGTAAAACTGCCCAGCCACAGAGTCACTTACTTTCTTTGTATTTATTTCCTGCCTATAGTTTCAACCCTTGGAAGGCAGGCCAGAGTTCAAACTGCAGCCCCCCATGGTACTGGACACTTGCACTTAGGGTCAAGCACAGTATTGAGCACACAGCATCAGAACTCAAAATCCTTGCTCAATTAACAGCACAGCAACTGGCTAGTGATAGGTCACCAGCAGGAACGTTACCCTGTAACTAGGACCTGCCCTTCATCACTGAGAGCTACAAAAGGATGTGACATAAAGAGGGAACTTGCTTGAAGAGAAGAAACAAGAACTGGAAAGCAAGTGTACAAGCCGGTGGTGGCACATGCCTGTCATCGACACTGAAGCTAAGGCAGGAGGATTGCTCAAGTATGAGCGTGGCTTGGCCTTCATAGTCAGTTCCAGACCAGTCTGGGCTACAGATTGAACCCCTATTTCAAACCAACCAACCAAAAACAGAGTAAAGGTAATGGACAAACTTCTGGTTCAGAGTTAGGAAACATAAGGGCTGGGGTATGGCTTAGTGGCAGAGTACTTTCCCATCATGCACAAGGCCCTAGATCCAATCTCCAGCTTTGCAAAAGATAAATTTATATATAATTAAAGCAAAATAAGCTATGTTGGCACACACTTGTAATCCCAGCATTTAGGAGGCAGAGATGGGTACCACTAGCCCAAGTTCAAGACCAGCATGGGTGGTATAGCCAGCTAGGACTGAAGAACTCTGTCTCAAAAAAAAATGAGCTTTTTCTTTAAGAAAGCATGCTCCTAGCTAGGCAGTGGTAGCACATGCTTTTAATCCCAACACTCAGGAGACAGAGACAGGCAGATCTCTATCAGTTCGAGGCCAGCCTGGTCTGCAAAGCGAGTTCCAGGACAGCAAGAGCTGTTACACAGAGACCCTGTCTTTAAAAAAAAAAGGAAGCATGCTCTTTTGTCTTCCTTTGAAGTCTGGGCACAAAATCGGATACAAAATCCCTACACAAATACCTCAAGTCGGTCTGTCTGGTACTTCCTCCCCGAGAAGGCATTTAGGTACTCGCAGAGACTGAAGAGGAAGCGCTGGATATCAGTCTGTAGGTATGCTGTGGCTATCCTTTCCAGAGGGATGAAGACTGGGATGGAATGGTGATGAATCCGGAGTGGTTTCTCTATGGCAAGGTCTACAAAGTAGGAATCCAGGAGGTTCCCCTCAAAGGCGGTGCTGATGCACACACAGACTCCACGGCTGGTCAGCTTCCCACTGAGCCCTAGGCAAACAGCGAGACACCACCTCTCAGATGTCAGTCAAAGGTTGTGGGTTGCTGTCTGGGCATTCTAGCAGCCTGCAGAAAGCCTGGCATACCCACACACAGTGTGCACAAGTGCTGGTAAATGAATGCTATCAGACACTCCCCGAGACTGGTTCACACGAGTCCGAGTTGTTACAATTGTGGAAAGAGGAGGAAGTGAGAAGACACCATAAATATTAAATACTGACAGAAAAGTTAGAAAATTGTTTTATGTACTCTTTTTATTCCTTGAGTTCTAATTTATGATAGTCCCAGTTCTTCCCACAGTCCTCTGTGGCATAGATGAAGAACAAATTCCTATTTATGCTGAAACAGAGATTTGAAGTTCAAACCATGGCCATTCCCATAACACAGGCAAGCAGTCAACGGAGTTCCAGTAGAACTTTCCTGATGCTGTGACCCTTTAATACAGCTCCTCATGTGTGGTCACTCCGGCCATACAACTATTTTCATTGCTACTGTAATTTTGCCACTGTTTTGAATCGTAATATAAATATCTAACAAGCAACCCCTGTGAAAGGTCACTAGACACTGCCCCCACCGCCACGCCCGCAAAGGAGTCGTGACTCACAGGTTGAGAACCACTGCAGTAGAGGATCTAGCAAGTGAATATCATGAAAAGAAATAGCCTTGGCCAGCCACCAATCTTGTACTGTCTGAAGAGGCTGATCTTACAGGTAATAGGTCTACAAAGCAGCATGCCAGCTTTGTAGTGTGTACAAGTAAGTTCTCAGGAACCAAGTCTAGCCAACTAAGAACAAGCCAGATGAGAATCAAGGTCTACCTGTAAAACGATAGGCCTGCAGAATGTCTTTCACGTTTCCCCATTGTTTTGCCAGATCCTCCTGCTCACTGAGCTCCACTGTTCTGTTTGGGTCTTCATTGGTCGAAGATGCTTTAATCTACAGGACATGCAGCAAAGCTAACTGGTTACAACAGGGGTACCACGAAGTCTCAGCCACCACTTGATTGCATAAAAATAAGGGCAGTTTCTCTTTTGTGTAAGGCATCCGTGATCACTCAGTTGGTGCTGTGACGTACTGCTGAATGAGAGGGTGTAGGGATCATGATATAAGGAATCGGGAGTAGAAACTGCAAGCTAATGAACCAGGATTTCGATGGCTATGGAGAAGACTTCAGAGGAGCAAGAAAAGGGCTCGAACAAAGTCTAGGATGAGTGCAGGGTGGACAAGACAGATGCCGTAGAAAGGCGAAGCTGGAAAAGCCAGGACTCAACTTGCACTTGCAGCTGCCCTTTCCTCAGAGCAAGTGAATGAACTACACAAATAAGCAAGCAGACAAAAAATGATCTGAAGGCATTAGAGAAACCCAAACACGACTGAGGAGAAAAAACCCCAACAACAAAAAACTGCTTTCAAAGGATTACACACAGTAACTGATAGGGAAGGAAGAGGCATTTTCTTCAGTGATGTACCTATTGGTAAGGTGTCCATACCCTTATAAGCAACCAAATGAAAGGCATTGGGTCACCACGTTGAAAAACAAAAACCCATGAAAGTAGAAGGGAACAGGTTGGGAAAAGGGACCAGGGTGGGGTGGGAGGGTGGAGGTGGGGGATAAAGGGTCATGGGAGTACTACATACATATATGAAAATGTCATAGTGGAACCCATTGTAAGAAACAATATTAAGAAAAGATGATTAAATGAAACAGGTATTTTTCATATTTATTAAAGCAGGCATAAAAGCAAAAACAAGGCTAGAAAATCAGTATAATGTTACAGGAAAACAAACACACAAACTAAAACAACCACTATTCATAGGAACCCCAAAAATATAGCAAAGAATGCCACTGATGCATTACTTGAAATGATAAAGGTCACATTTTTCAATAAATGAAAAACTTCCAGTATATAAGCATTGCCAAGCCAAATGATGACCATCACACCCGACCTTATTATAACATAAAGTTATCCAGAGAATATAAAGTTTAAAAAAAAAAGAAACCACATTAAAACAAGAATTATCACCTCATAAGATTAATGCCAAATTTTGAAAACATGGGCCTGGAGATAACATAATATCCTTAAAGTATGAACAAAAACACAAAAATGATGTCTAACTTAATTTAGATTCCAAATATAAGATCAAAGGTCTGTCTGTCTGTCTGTCTTCCTGTCTTTCTCTTTTTGAGATGGGGTCCCTCTATCATGTGGCTCTGACTGTCCTGGTACCCACTCTGTAGACCAGGCCGGCCTCAAATTCAGAGATCTACCTGCCTCTGCCTCAAGTGCTGGGACTAAAGGCATGCACCATACCTGGCCTTCAAATGTATACAACAAAACACTCAGTTAAGAAAACATCTAAAAGATAAAACCACACACTTCAGGGATTACCAAACTATAAACAGTTTATGTCATGACAGTCGAGGCTGCTGGTGAATTCTGGGTGTTTTTTCTTTACCTCCTAAGTGTTGGCATTACAAGGCCTGTGCTATCATGACCAGCAAGGTGCTTCTTAAAAATTAAGTTTAAAGCCAGGCGTTGGTGGTGCAAGCCTTTAATCCCAGCACTCGGGAGGCAGAGGTAGGTGGATCTCTGTGAGTTCGAGGCCATCCTGGTCTACAGAGCGAGTTCCAGGACAGCCTCCAAGACAATACAGAGAAACCCTGTCTCGAAAAACAAAAAACAAACAAACAAACAAAAAAAACCCCACAACAAAAACAGAACAAAACAAAAAACAAAACAAAACAAAACCAGGTTTAAACCAGAAGCCGGGACCTTAGTTCTCTTTCCCATCTTGTAAGGTGGCCGGTGAAAAAGCCAAGAAGCCTGACACAAAAGAGAAAAAAACCTGCAAAACAGAAACTTCAGTAGCCACCACTGGGACCACAAAAGGGGCACATGCACTTTACAAGGTGGCAGTCTTCACTAAAGTTAATATGCAGGTTCCATGTCCTAGAATTTCTACTAAGGCCTGTACCAAACAGAAAAGTATTGTGTTTTTAATGAAACCAAAGCAACAATCTTCATGGTGAACTCAAAGTGCGACAGCTCAAATGGCCCACATGGCGTCGTCAACAGTGGAATAGGTAAACTATAACAGTCATAAGACAGAAGTGCGGCCTGGCACTCAAGAGGGGGCAGATCTCCATGAGTCTGAGGCCAGCCTGGTCTACAGAGTGAGTTCCAGGACAGTCAGGGCTGTTACACAGAGAAACCTTGTGTCGGAAAAAAACAAAACAAAAACAACAACAACAAAAGGCAGAACTGTTGCACAGTGATGATGGTCTGAATCTCACTTGGCAAAATAAGCAAGACAGGAGAGTTTATATCCTACAGCTGTGTGGTGACGCGCACTCTGAGGCAGGAAGACTGCATGATGTGGTAGAAACCTGGCTGTATGCCATTAAGATGCAATTACCTTCCTCACATTACATACTTTTCTTCAGTAAAAAGCAAATTAGAGAAGAGTGGGAGGGGAGGGAAGGAACCGGCAGCGAGACCGGCTTTAACTGAGTGGTCACTGACCATATTATAGGCAGGGAAGATTGTGACATTTTGTAGGATTTAGTGGAAAAATGGAAATATTAAGAGAGCCCCAAACTACTGTAATTACCCTAGGGTCCAACCCACCTGGTCAGCGGGCTTACCAAGTATGTCGATAATATTTAATGTATGGCAGAGAAGGACAGAGACAGAAGAAAGATCAGATCTGCTGACTGGACCTCAGCTAGAGTGGAAGCCAGAAAGAAGGAATGACCGATGCTCACTCTGAAATTCTGAGACTGAGTCACACAACATTGGCACCAACGGCAAAATTATAAACCGCTTACACCTGCTGAGGTTGAGGTGCCAGGTCAGGTGTCTGTGAGAGAAGGCTGAGGCCTGCCTCGCCTCACCATCTGACAATTACTAGTCACTATTGCTAGCTACATCTCCACAGGTCTGTTTTATCTGAAGGGAATCAAAGCCTTGAAGCCAACCCAGTATGATCCCAAGTGAAACAGGTGAGCCAGGTTTACGGATTCCCACTCACAGCTGATCCTCACACCCCAGGGGAGACAACAAGGCTTTCCCACTTACTCCGGCTCGCCGCCTTTTCACTTCAGCCCTCAGCTTATCTCGCCGTCTCCGCAGTTCACGAACCTTGGTTCTCAGAGAGCTTTCCTCTGTGTGAACTGTCGGCTCCACAGACTTTCTCCTCGCTCTGCTCATCCGAGCCTCTAGTCTTTCCAGGTGAGCTAAAACACCTAAGGAAAGAAAAAGAACTTCACAATTGGACGGGGGTTTAACTCTAGCAAAACGCACACTCCAAGTAACAGCTTGCTGCGCTAAACTCGGACCAAAAGCAGCAACTTAGGGAGGAAAGGGCTATTTTCTCTTATGGGTTACAGTCCATCCCGAAGAGGACTCAGAGAAACTTAGGACAGGAACTGAAGCAGAGGGAGGAAGGCTGCTAGCTGGTTTGCTCAGTTTGCTTTCTTAAATCTGCTCTGGGGGTGGCAGGAACTGAAGCAGAGACCTTGGAGGAGCATACTTTCTGACCTGTGACCTGCTTAGCAGGCTTTCACACATAGGACCACCTGCCCAGGGGCGTTTCCACCCACAGTGTCAGGCCCTTCTCCCTCTATTAGCAATCAAGAAAATGTCCTAAGAAATGCGCATGGACCAATAGGAGGTAATTCCTCACGGGGTTCCCTCTTCACAGGTGTATCAAGTTGACAACCAAAAATAGGCATCACAATAGACGTCTCACTTATCTAGGATTTGGGCCAGCTAAATTGTTAAATAGGTGAATTGAGGGCAAATTTTCTTATATATTGAGACAGGGCCTCTCCTACATGACTGGCCTTGAACTCACAGAGATCCAGCTGCCTCTACCCAGAGCGCTGGGATTAAGGCATGCGCCACCACACCTAGCTCTGCCATAAATTTATAAAAACCTGAGGGCCAAACAACCAAACCAGAGACCATCAACCTCTCTGTTGAACACTGGTAAAAGCACTCCCCAATCGGGACACTTATTTAAAAGAGAACAGGAGACCCGGATCTCTCTGCTGCTTGCATTATCTACAGGGTGGAAAAGAACGATTCTCAATAGCTTTACCACAGGCCAGATGACATCTCTCCATAGAAGTCCTATGCTTCTACCATTAAGACCTCATGTAACAAGGTTCCTAAAGCAGATCCAATATCCACTTTGCAGGGTTCACAACAAAAACACACACACACACAGTCTGTGCATCAATTATAGTTATCTGCATACTATCAAGAGTCACACATACGCAGCACCATTTTATCTCACTTGCGGTTATCACGGTTACTCACCGACTTCTATCTTCTTTCACTTCCCTGGGAGCCTCGGCAGTGCCGTTGTCATTTTTCTCTGCTGTATCCCGTTCCTCCCCATGCTCACACAACAAAACAGCCACGATTACCAAGCAGAGGGAGCAAACCCACATGGCACTAGCCAAATGTTCCAACCTTTTGGTGGTGGAGATAAGGGGACTGTAGACCTGTCCAGGCTGGGTCTGCTGACCATTCACAGCTTTCACTTGGGACTTGTTTTAAGACAGGTGTGCTGGCTCACAGAATTGAGTGAAGGACCACTGAGTTCCAGGCCAACATGGGATACAAGTATTTCAGTTCTAGGGCAGTGGTTCTCAACCTTCCTGATGTTGCTACGACCCCTGATACAGTCCCTCCTCATGTTGGGGTGACCCCCTACCATAAAATTATTTTCAGGCCAGCCAGGCGTTGGTGGCGCACGCCTTTAATTCCAGCACTCAGGAGGCAGAGGCAGGCGGATCTCTGTGAGTTCGAGGCCCGCCTGGTCTACAGAGTGCCAGGATAGCCTCCAAAGCTACAGAGACAAACCAAAAAAAAGTTTCATTGCTACTTCATAGCTGTTACTTTGATACTGTTGTGAATCGTAATGTAAATATTTGGAGACAGGTTTGTCAGAGGGGTCGCGACCCACGGGTTCAGAACTACTATCTAGAGTACGGATTCCATGCGACTCCAGCACAGTTTTAACGCAAAGTCATCACACTTGTCATTTTGAAGTAACAATTTCAACCCACATGTCGTTTATTACCTCAAACTAAAACTTTAAAAATAAAAGAAGCCCCGGGAGGGAAGAAGAAACGGAGGCAGAGCTGTAGTGTGTCCAAGTTACAGTATCTATAAAGGCAGCACCCCGAATCAAACCCAAATCTAATCAAACCCCACAGTGGCCCCGCCTCTGTAGTGAGGTCTGGAAAGAGTTCTTACCGCGGGCGCAGGGACGGCCAACCCTCCCGATACCTGCCTTTGCGCTCCCCGCCTTGACACAAGGTATTCGCAGACTCCATCTCCTCTTCAGCGTCTCAAGAGCTTGCTTCCTCCGAGGCTGGCGGGACAGGGCAGGCTGAACATGGACCCAAACGTCCTTGACTGTGAACAGGAACAGACAGCCATCTATCTGTTGCCACTTGCGGCAACCCCGCCGGTCCCGGGATAAACAAGGGGCCCCGCCCGCCTCCCTTGCCTGGCACCTGTCCCATGTGTCCACGCCTACCTCACCGCCGTGGTCGCCCTGATGCATGCAGCAGGGAGAACCCCGGAGGGGCTGTGCAGCACCGCTAACCCGTCGGCCGCCAGGTCTTGCTCTCTTCCTTTCCAGGGCGTCCTCACTCGGGATCCCGTTTAAGAATTCCCGCCCGCGGCGCCTTCGAAAACGCAAACCACCGGCCCCAGCATGCCACGCGCTTCCGCCGTACAAACCCATGGCGGCGCCCAGGGCGCCACCCTAATCCCAGCATGCACTGCAGAGTGGGTCCGGCCATTCAGACCGTCGGGAAGAGATGGCAGGCTCTGGGGCGGGGCCGCAGATCCTTGTGCAGTACTTAGTGTTACGAAAGGATCTAGCCCAGGCCCCCTTTTCCTGGCCCGCGGGCGCACTGGTAGCGCAGGCTTGCCACGCCGCCACCGCAGCCTTGCACCTTCACCGAGACCATCCGCACACCGTAGCGTATCTCCAGGACCTGGGGCGCATGCGCAAGGTCGTTCTCGAGGTGAGTCGCGGGAGCGTAACCGGAAGGAGGCTGAGGGAGGGCTGTGCCGAGGCCGGAAGGAGGTCCGCTCGGGGCCCAAAGCCTTGACTTCCGGGAGCGTGTGCGCCGTGGTTGTTGAGGAGCTCCAAGAGTTCGGGGCGCTGGCCTGCCGGTGGAGCTGCTACGCAGTGACCCTTCGCCGGGCAGGAAAGGGCCGCGAAGGGCGGACGTAGACCCCGCTGCCACAGGCGTGTCGGCGCTGTGGGTACTGGGGAGGCGTGGTCCCTCCTGTCTACCTGGGCCGCGTTACGTCTTTTAAAGCTGTGCCTAACATTCCCACTGCCTTAATAAACGTGGTTAGTAAGGGGGACAGAGGCCATTTGTTAAGAGGGAGAAAGACACTCAGCCGGGAAAAGGCGTGTGTTTTTCAAAAGCTCTGGGCCTCGAGTCTCATGACCCTGTCGTTTACGTAGCTCCTGCTTCTCTAGAGAGACATTTGTGCAGGAGAACACTTGTCTAGGGGTGGGAATGGACGAACGATGGCCAAAGGAACCATCGTGCCAACCTGCATGTTCACAGTGGCTTTCAGCTTTCTGAGGGGTTTTCCTATCGGGGTAGGTGACTTACACGCCTGTTGGATTAACTTGAACATTTTCTAAAAGGATACTTAAATTATATGTGTGTGGGTATATGTACATGAGTACTGGGAAGATGGAAGAGCTGTAGTTACAGGCGGTGTGACCAGCCCAGTGTGGGTACTGGGAACCAAAGTCTGGTCCTGTTTCAGGAGTATTCCCTGGACACCGAGTCATCTCTCCCACCCCCAGACTATCTCTTAAGGGTCAGGTCAGCAGTATATTCTGTAAGCATTTCGACGGATTGGATGGGATGGACAGGGAGGGATGGATTGTGGCACTCGGGAGCCAAAGAATACTGAGTGTTACAGCTCAGATGGAAAGGTATCCTGGAGCTGGGGAGTCAAGGACCACCACAGGTCACAGTAATTGTAGCAGTTTACAGCCCTGCCTCAGGGAAAGGCTTCCCCAGTGTATCGGTTCTGCTCCAGTTTTGCTCCGGCAGGAGGTTTCCCCTGTCGAAGTTGCTACAGTTCAGCTCTGCTCCCGGAGTGGAGTGTAACAACTCGTCTCTGCTAGGGGAAGGTTTTCCCCACCAATAGTGTTACAGCCCTGCTCGCTCTGCTCTGCCCAGGGTTGTCTCCGCTGCAAAGAAGATCTTCACCCAAACCTCATTCAAGAGGTTTATTGGAGGAAAGAATCCAGGAGAGTGGCTGCCGGGTAGCATGAACAGCCACAAGCTGAACAGACACAGGGTTTCTATAGGGCTTCTTAGGGGGTAGAGTTTTCCAGGGTGGGGATTGGTCAGATTTCAATCTCCTGCTCAGGGATTGGCTAGTTTTCTGCACAGGGTTAGGTGCAGATTTGACTCTGGTTTCAGGGCCAAAGTGTATTTCTTTCACTGGTCCTTTTTAGCCTTTTGGCTCTTGTTTTAGGGCCAGGATGTATGTCTTTCACTGGCTCTGATTCCTGGGACAAAGTGTGTTTCTTTGGCACTGGTTTCAGGGCCAGGGTACATTTCTTTGGTTCTGGTTGCAGGGCCAATGTTTCTTTGGCTCTGCTCGGGTGTGTTTCTTTGGCTGGATCCTTTTCCCTACATATTCTTTACCAGAAAACCTGGTGCTGTATCAAGGAGACTTTCCCACTCCCCCACCCTCATACAGCAGGGACTTCCTCCCACGGATTATGCACAAACCACACCCGAACACCTGTTGCCACAGAGATCCTTTATTAAGTGTGGAAGAAAAGTTAGAGTGGCTGCTACTGACTCAGACAGAAAACAGTAGCAAATGACCTTGCAGGTATAATTTTTTTTAGTTGGTTGGTTTGGATTTTTGAGACAGGGTTTCTTTGTGTAGCCTTGGCTGTCCTAAAACTAGCTCTGTAGACCAGGCTGGCCTCTAACTCACAGAGATCCACCTTCCTATGCCTCCCAAGTGCTGGGAATAAAGTTGTGTTTTCATCTAGGTCAAGGATTAGGCCTTAGATCCTATTCTGCCGATCAAAAAGCAAATAATGGAGTAGATTACAAAGAATTAAAGGGTTGGTGAGGTAGCTCATTGGTAAAGGCACATGCCACCAAGCCTGACAACCGGAGTTCCATCTCTGGACTCAACTGATGGAGAGAACCAAATCTTGCAAGTTATCTTTAGTGTACATGCATCATACAATATTCTAGTTTGCTATTTCCTGCTAGGATAAGCACCCTGACCAAAAAGCAACTTGAGAAAGAAAGGGTCTGTTCCATCTTTTTTTTTTTTTATTTTCCAAGACAGGGAGCTTTGGAATCTGTCCTGGAACTCACAGAGATCCACCTGCCTCCTTAGTGCTGGGATTAAAGGCGTGTGCTGCGGCGGCCACCGCCGCCGCCGCCGCCACCACCATCCAGCGGTTTGTTACAACTCATAGGTTACATCCGTCCTCTAGGGAAGCCAAAGCAGGAACTGAGGGAAAGAGCTTAAAGCAGAAACCACAGAGGAGCACTGCTTTCTGGCTGGCTCCCCTTGCTTTATCAGCAACCTTACACAGTTAAAGCCCACTTGCCTAGGGATGGTACCGCCCTCGGTGGACTGAGCCCTCCTACATCAAATAGCTGAGAGATGCATTCTGCATCAATACTATGCTTGGGCCTGAGGGCCTGAGAGAGCAAGAAGGAAGGTACATGTAATCTTAGAAATCCTTCCAGTAGCCAGCTGAGTCAGAGCTGGCTGATGAGGGTGAACTGCTATAGGTGCCAGCTATAAGAAAACTAGAAACTGCAGAATCCATCTTTTTTTATCTTTCAAGACAGGGAGCTTTGGAGTCTGTCCATTAATAAAATGCAGATAAAACTGCCTTTTATTAACAGACTGTTAAGCCTCCATCTCTGCCCCCTCCCAGCCACTTCTATAAGATCCTAAAGAGTGGGACTAGCAAACCAGGGGATGAAACTGTTGCTATATAGGTCTTCTGTGGAGCCACCTCTCCAGTTTCAGAGCCCCCTCCACCCTTTTGTGACCCTCTGACTAAATGGATCTTTCAGTCTGGGCTGTGTGTTTTGTAACTTGCAGGCTGCTGATGAGACCACCTTGAAGGGGCTGGCAGAGACCCTGCAGCAGAAAGACATTGACCACATGCTATGGCTTGAGCAGCCAGAGAATATTGCCACCTGCATCGCCCTCAGGCCATACCCCAAGGAAGAAGTGAGCCAATATCTGAAGAAGTTCCGATTGTTCAAGTGACTGCTGCTCTGGTAGAACTGGATGTCGTGGGGTCCCGGAGCCAAATGGCCTCCATCCTGAAGCATTGTGGGCTCCTTTAATGTTGATGTGCTCTTCCCTTCCAGTTATGCTGGTTTCTTAAGAGCCAGCCCAAATTCAAATTAAAGCCATCATTAACAAGTACTTCCTACTAGCATTATTATCACCAACAAATTCAGTCGAGGGAAGCTGGTAAGCAGCGACGTTATCTGTGGGTCACTGCTCAAGCAGAAGGTATTTTTTGTTAGGAGTAATAGACCTCTTCTAATCGCCCATGTTTAAATGTTGCCTTTGAGTTCTTCACCTGTCCTGTCCCTTCCTGCTTTCCAATCACTGACCTCCAGTCTCTAATGCAGTAGTAGAATCTTCCTCCTCTTCCTCTCTTCTCTGTCTCATGAATTCAATTAAATACCACCACTTCTTCACAAAGTCTTAACAGCCAAAAACTGTCCCCTTTCCTGAACACGTATACAGGGCAGTACACTGTTCAAAATATTTCTGTAAACATTTGTACATGACAACAGAAATTGATTGAACGTGTTTGTGAAGCCATTTCTCCAGTCCTAAAGAGGGAGAAAAAAATCAGAGAAGACAATGGATATGGAGGAAGGTAAGGAGAAGAGAGATTAAAGTTAGTAAATTAACTGGTTAAAAAAAAGTCCAGGGAAAATGAGAAGAGATGGAGCCCTGGATTACAGTGTAACATAACTTAAATCGGGAGATGGCTCTTATACTTGGAGTTTCTTGAACTTTGCAAGCCACTCACCTTCCTCAAGCCACTTCCCTCATCTGCAAAATAGTTGTGGATTCAGTGCATTGGTATGCACAGTGCCCATAAGAGCCCGGGCGCCTGATGCTGGGGCCAGGGCACAGGACACAGTGAAACAGCTCCCAACAGCTGCCTACCAAGAGCCCTGTTGTGTGAGCCCAGTGTCTGCCCTTGTCCTCCTGTTTAGAAGTGATGCTTCCTGGCATGTGTCAGGTACTCCCTGAATGCTTTCCAAGTAGGAGGCTGGTTCCTGTGATACTGCAGTTTCAAAGTACTTGGACTCTGGATTTCTTAGTAAAATATGATGGAGTCAGAGATAGGTGAATGTCTGTATAGATGGGAGATGGCCACTCAGGTAAATGTCTAACGTTCAGGGGGAAAGGACAAGTATGCACCCAAATAAGAGGAGGAAAAAGCAGCAGATCTCTTTAGCAGTATCAGTTCGGACCAGTGGTTCTCTTGAGTGTGATCTGGAACCTTAGGTCAGGATCACTGGTCACTTGTCAGAAATAATGCCAGTTCTGAAGACCCACTGGTGAGAACCTGGTGCTGCCTGGAGGCAGCTGGTTTTCTGAGACCCTTAGCTGAAAAGCTGAATAATGAATGTGTATGGTTGGGAATCAACCCATTGGGAGAGGAAATGTATACACTTCCACTCACCTCAGATAGGGAGCCCATGACAGACCAATGCTGTGGAATAATCTCTGTACACTGTAAATGTGCATTGCCCTCATTGTTAATAAAAAGCTGACTGGCCAGTAGCTGAGCAGGAAGAGATTGGGCGAGATAGCCTGAGACAGGCAGAGTGCTGGGATGAGGAAGGGTGGAGTCAGAGGAGATGCCAGCTAGCTTCCAAAGAAATAGGACGTGTGTTAAATGAGGTAACAAGCCATGAGCCACATGGCAAAGCATAGATAAGAAATATGGGTTAACTTAACTGTAAGAGTTAACTAGTAATGAGCCCGAGCTATCAACCGAGCCTTTATAATTAGTATAAGCCTCAGTGTTGTTACTTGGTTGTTGCTGGTGGGACAGAAAGTCCACCTATAGACCAAAGTACAGATACCACCAAAATCCAACTTGGTGAACCAATTAATTGTATTGGGGATTACTTACAGGGTCAGAGATGACTCAGAAACAGCTGTATCAACAAAACCCACCACAGCATGAATGAGAGCTTATAAAAGCTGAAACTTGGAGCACACTGCACAGTTGGCAGGCAATCCAACAGGTTAGAGATCGTTCCTTCCAGGCAGCTTGGCTGGTTTCTGTGTCTTTCAAGTGGCTTGATTGCCTGAGAGGATCTTTATTGTTTGCTTCTGAGAGGGAGGGGCCTAGTGAATCCTGTCAGTTTCAGGGACTTCCTGAAACTCGTTTGAGTTGATGAGTTTCCTTCTTAAGGAGCTTCCCTACAGGGTGGACTGTTTCAATCTCAGGACGAAACTGCTGCACAACACCTATTCTGGGAACTGAGGATATAATATGGTCAGTTGACAGAATGCTTCTAGAATGTACCCAAGCTCTGAGTTTGACTTCTAATACCATTAAAATAGGCATGGTGGTGTAATACTACCATTATAGGCCTGTAATACCAAAACTCAGAAGATAAAAGCAGGGTCAGAAGTTCCGGGTCATCTTGACTAAATAGTGGGTTCAAGGCCAGTCTGGGTTATAGTCTTAACAAAAAGCAACAGCAAAAACCCAACAAAAAACAATCAAACCTATTCTGTGTCCTTATAAAATGCTCTCTGGAAGGAGCCAGTGTGGAGGGCAGAGATCTGGCTGCAGTCTCACTCTATCTAACATACATACATACATACACACACCTGATTACATAAAGGACATGTTGGCCAACAGGATATATCCTTGGAAAGGCTCCTCTGCCCTGGTAAGCTTCTTACTTTTGATTGGCAAAGTGTTTCCATACGACCTATCCTGGCAAGTCTGTGGTGCAGGTAGTCCTGCCCCATCATTTACAGAACGGAATCGACTTGCTTAAGACCAAAGCCTGTGTCAGGAGCTGGATCTTCTGTCAGTTCTGTTTTTGTGTTTTCTCAATGCAATGTACTAATTTGTTCTTCTACTGTTAAGATACCAGTTAGGTGTTTTAGAAAGGGACCACAAGTTGTCCAAGCACAGGAACACTGTAGCTGCTTGGGAAATTGTTTAATTCACATTCACATTTAATTAATTCACATTCTCAAGGTCATATACATTAGTATCTAGAACTCAATTATCACAGATGAAGTGGCAATTATGTTTCTGAACTTGTAAAGTGAGGATCAAAGCTGAAGTCACTGTTCTTTGCGGCACTGGGAGTGAGGAGGGCTCCCCTAGTGGGGAAAGTGAGAAATAACTTTTATGTTTCATCCTGGCACAACTTCCTCATAGACTTTCTGCCCTGGGATGCCTACTTCTTCCTGCTTCCTGGGTCTTGGCATAAGCATAGGGAGCTGCTGTTTTTACTGATGGGATGGTGTTAGTGTGGCAAAACAACTATGATTCTTCACTGTGCTCTGAGGCCAAGCTCAGAACACTTTTTCTAAGATTGATACAGATGGGTTCTGCATGTGAGAAGAGGGCACCAGATCTCATTACAGATGGTTGTGAGCCACCATGTGGTTGCTGGGAATTGAACTCAGGACCTCTGGAAGAGCAGTCAGTGCTCTTACCCTCTGAGCCATCTCTCCAGCCCCAGTCTTTACTTTTTTAAAATACATTTTCACTTTTCTTCTTCTTCTTATCTTGTTGCATTGGCTAGGACCTCTCGTATTCTAGCAGTGATGCTAATTGGAACCGTGGTTTATGATCAGTTTAACAGGAATGCTTTTAGATTTTTACTGAATCAGATTAAGAGGGCTCTCTTTTTCTGCCTCATTTTCCAAAATTGAAACAACATAAACAGATTTAAAAAAAATCAAATACCTTTTTGCATCTATGGAGGCAACTGTATGGCCTTTCTCTGCTGTTACTGTGGTGGATTACATTGCTAGAGTCCAAATATCAAATAGTCTTTATTCTTGGAATAAACTCCCCTGGAAGAGGATGGCTTAATTTCAAACCAGTCTCTAAAGACTATCTGCTGATAATTTCCTGTCTGTATCTTCAACTCCAACTTCTCCCCTAAGTTTCAGGTCCATACACATCTGGATAGCTGCTGATCTGAGTTCACTGGATGCTTGATGAGAAGCTCATATGTATGACAGAAAGTGAAGCAAATTCATGTCTCCTTGCTGGGTGTTGGTGGCACACGTCTTTAATCCCAGCACTCGGGAGGCAGAGGCAGGCGGATCTCTGTGAGTTCGAGGCCAGCCTGGTCTATAGAGTGAGTTCCAGGACAGCCTCCAAAGCAATACAGAGAAACTCTGTCTCGAAAAACCAAAAACCAAAACCAAAACAAACCAAAAAATACCCATGTCTCCTCCCCACCTCTGTTAAGGGCTGTCCCATCCTGCCAGTTGCTCAGACCCAACATCTGGGAATCACCTGTACTCCTCTTCTCACACCCTGTATCAGATATGGAGCAGATACCTGTATCTGAGTATCTGAGGACTGTATCCAAAACCCGATCACTGTCGGTTCAGTTCATCATCTCTTGCTGCAGCAGCAGCTCCCAGCAGGTCTCCTTGCTTCTGCATTTGCTTTCTTTGTAGGCGGATCTTTCTGTTCTGCTAGCTGATCCTCAAATAGCCACACAGAGACTTAATATTAGTTGTAAATGCTAGGCAGATAGCTTAGGCTCATTTTTACCTAGCTCTTGTAACTTAAACTAACCCATTTCTATTAATCTGTGTGGGGTTCCAAGGCTCATTTCTCTCACTATGTACTTCCCATCCTGTTTGCTCTGCATCTCCTCTGACTCCACCCCTCTCCCTAGCATTCTCTCTGTTCCAAAAATCCTGCCTAGCCATCGGCCAATCAGCTTTTTATTAACAATGAGAGCAACACATCTTCACAGTGTACAGAAGGCTTATTTGACGTGTTTTCAACATAAAAGCACCTTAGCACTGGCTTCGTTAGTGTTTCTACTGCTGAGATAGAGCAGCATGAACAGAGCAACTTGACAATAAAGGACTTACTTCAGCTTACGGTTCCATGCCGCAGTCCATCATAGTAAGAACACACACAGGGCAGGGACCCGGAGGCAGGAGCTGATGCAGAGGCTATGGAGGGTGCTGCTTACTGGCTTTCTCCCCACAGCTTGCTCAGCCTGCTTTCTTATAACACCCAGGGCCACCTGCCCAGGGGTAGCAACACCTGCAGAGAGCTGGGCCTTCTCACATCCATCAATCATCAGTTAAGGCAATCCCTCACCGACTTGCCTAGGCTAATTACAGAGGCATTTTCTCAAATTACTTCTTCCTAGATATGTTTG